GGCCTAAGGAGTGGCTGGTATCTATCAATGCGGTAAAGTGTGTCTACATACACTTTTGGGATTCAAAGATTAATAGGTACAACATAGGGGATGCGCCATTACCCGTAGTCCGGTTTCGTAAAGATCTAGGGATAACAGTGAGTCATGATATTAAGACGACGGCTTATTGCTGGGAGGTCACAGCTAAGGGGTTTCGAACCCTCTGGGCTTTAAAACGGATAATCACTAAGTTAGATACTACCACGTTCACCACAGTATACACATCCTTACTAATTAATGAGAACAAAGCTTGAGAACTGTGTTCAGGCTGCAAGCCCCTGTTTTAAATGTGACCCGGATATCCCAAAAAAAGTACAGAAGGCAGCTACCCGTGCGATTCCAGAACTCCGGGATTTACCATGCAAAGGGCGGCTTGAAAATCTGGACCTCTTTACTTTGTCCTATTGTAGATTAAGGGGAGATCTAATTTTGATGTATAGAATATTGAAAAACGATTTTGTACCCAAATTACTCTCTCTTTTTCTCTCCACTAGATCGATACACCTCTAAGGACATTGCAGGCGAATAAAAAAGCCAAGAACGAACAAAATACTCGCGGCATACAGGTTTTCACACCGAGTCATCAATACTTGGGACTTGCTGCCTGAAGCAGTGTTGTCAGCACCTACAATTGACTCTTTCAAGGGAAGAATGGACACACACAGAAGCACATTAGTAAAGGAATAACATAGGCCGTAGGCCTTCTGTCCTTACTACACAAATCTGAATCTGAATATGTGTAAGTGACGCGCGCTATCTAAAAAGGACAGTGGTATTGTTTCTCGTTAAATTAGTAAACTGTTGTGATCGTAAATTACGTATCAAAACTACGATTTACACTTTAATCGAATCTACTCCAGTTAAGGTGATATTTTACTGAGTTTTTTTGGCTTTTGTGTATTTATTACATTCGAAAGCATTCTTGCTCTGTATCAAAGTACTTTAGTTAAGGTCTGACATCTTGCTAGAGTTTGTCTTGTGGCTCATACCGTGATCATATTGTGTGTTACACCTTGATCAGACTAAAATGGTTGGTAGTACCCACAAATGTGGACAACCAAACTGTTTGTTCCCTGTGGAGGAGGGAATGCAGTGTGACGAATGCAATAAATGGTTCCACAAAATGTGCACCCGTTTAAGTCCCACTGCATATAAAAGATGTTCGAAGCCTAACTCACATTGGCTTTGCATGTTTTGCTGTGCCAACAAGGCATTGCTAATACAGGAGGCTATGAGCCTATTGGCTTTGGCCTGTAAGAAGAATGATGGCATATGCGCCGACAACACGGGCACTGACAGTGACGAATGTGTCAGTGTTGTTACGCAACGCCTCAAACAACCGACTCTGAACGACGTAAAAGTGAAATCTCCGTTGATATTAACAGGGGGAGTAGTACCACCTAGTACTGACATTGTTAATGATGCACCTTTAGTGGGAACCGAAGATCTGGATAAAACAGTCACCGTGCCAAATAGTCCCAGTGTTATGAGGGATGAAAAATGGACTACGGTACGTAGGAAACTAAACGAAAAGAAAAAAGCTGTAAGCAGTACACAGGTAGTTAGTAACTCACTGGTGGACTCAAATTGTGAGCCACAAGTTGCACTACCAAGATCTGATCGTAAGAGTGAAACCCATCCTGGCGTAACTGAGAAGAAAAATCTAATAACATCGAATATTATTGTGAGCAAATTGCGGGAGTCAAGTGACCCTGATCCGAAAGTTAGACACGCGCATGACTTAGAAAAGCTAGGAGAATACATTCGTAGTATTTTACCAGATAACTCCAAAGGAGTTCAGGTTAAAAAGTTAGTAAGAATAGGCAAGAGGACCGAGGACAATGTTGAACCCCGTCCATGCAGACTCCTTAAGGTAATCCTAGGATCGAAGAAGCAACGGGATCTCTTGTTCAGTAGCGCTCGTTGTCACGACAATTTTGACATCCGAGTTAGACCTGACGTTTCTCTCGAAGATAGAATAAAAAGGAAGAAAGCACTAGCTGAACTTGAAACCCGTCGGCAAAACGGCGAGGAAAATCTCCGGCTAGTGGGTTTTCGGATAGTCAGGTCTTGAAAGCAAATGCTACCAAGGCCTGTGTGGATAGGCTGTTCTACTTAGGAATTTTATATGTCAACGCTCGTAGCCTACGAAATAAGTTCTATGAATTAGAAGCACTAGTGGACAGGTTAAAGCCACTCATAGTAGCAGTGACAGAAACTTGGTTAGTCGATGACTTAGAAATTACTCCAGAATTATCCGGATACCATTGCATCAGAAGTGATAGACATAGATGTAGGAAAGGAGGTGGCGTCCTGTTATACATAGCCAATAGCATAAATATCCGCTCCTCTACTAGCGAATCCCATGATAGCGACACTTGTGAAGTCATTAGCTGTAAGTTGGCTATAGGATGTAGTACATTTATGCTAGGTGTCATCTATCGGAGCCCAATCTGCCTAGCTGATGACTTTGTTTTAGAGCACATTCATCTTTGGAGTGAAAATACCAGATGTTTGATAATAGGAGACTTTAACGCACCTGATATTAGTTGGACTGATATGACCACAGAAGGATCTATAAACTCCTTTGATAGTAAGTTCCTGATAACAATAATGGACCATGCACTAGTACAGCATGTATCCCAACCCACACGTTTTGGTGTTAACCAGGGTTCTTCTCTGCTGGATTTGGTAATCACTCATGAGACTGAGGATATTGTCGACTTAAATATTCTCCCGCCGTTAGTGAACAGCGACCACGCTGTTTTGTCATTGACGTTTCGAACTAGGGATATGTTATACGATCAGGTTACACCTCGCCCAAATGTATGGAAAGCTAACATATCAGCCATTCAGGAATGTGCTGCTAAGACAAATTGGTTAGTAGATACTAGCATATCAGTTGAAGAAGCATGGTCCGTATTTAAAGGTAAATTTAGACTAGCTACGTCCCCGTTCATACCATACCTGGTACCGCGAAGACCGAATAATAGTCCACCATGGATAACTAAAACGGTCAGGAAACTCCTTAGAAAAAGGAAGAATCACTGGGATGTGTTCATCTCTACTGGCTTAGAACAATACAGATTCAGTTATTGTAAGATTAGGAATGCCTGTAAAGCGTTAATAAGTAAGACTAGACTATCATACGAAAAACAATTGGTTAGGGATTCTAGATATAGTCCGAAACGGTTATTCTCGTATATAAAAAGGCGAACTAAGAGAAGTGATAGAATTCCATCACTATTGATACGAGAAAATCCGTTAATCTTAGCAGAGAATGATGCCGAAAAAGCTGAAGCTTTGTCGGAATACTTTAGTAAAGTGTTTTCTATCGGTAATGAGGAACGACCAATGATTCGTCGCGACCGTGACGGCTCGCTGATGGATCCTGTAGTCATTGAGAAAGATACTGTTTTAAGGCTACTCCAGCATCTCAAACCTGATAAGTCCAGTGGTCCTGACGATATTCATCCTAGGATTATGAAAGCCATATCAGATGAAATTGCTGAACCATTAGCGATACTATTCAACATGTCTCTGAGACAGTCCAGACTTCCTAGAGACTGGAAAGACGCCATAATAAGTCCGGTGTATAAGGCTGGGGGTAGGGATTTAGTTAGTAACTATAGACCCGTTAGCTTAACTAGTGCAGTTGTAAAACTGATGGAGAAAATCATTCGGATAGCTGTTATAAACTATGTTGAAGGGCAAAATCTTTTCTCCAGGGAACAACATGGTTTTCGGAAAGGCCTATCTTGCTTGACAAATCTCATTGCACGAGAAGATTGGGCTGCGGCAAAGGATCGTAATGCTCCTGTGGATGTGATTTTCATAGATCTAAGTAAAGCCTTTGATAAGGTTTCCCATTCTGGTCTTAAATTCAAACTGAAACGTTTGGGAATCCATTATATAGTCGTCGATTAGATAAGAAACTTTCTACATGACAGGAGACAAAGGGTAAGGGTTAATGGGGTTCTTTCCGCGTGGGTACCTGTAAAAAGTGGAGTTCCCCAAGGCACAATCCTGCGTCCTTTCCTCTTTTTACTTTATGTAAATGAATTGCCAACTGTAGCAAAATCATCCATCCTACTCTTCGCTGATGACATAAAGATTTGGAGATCCATACATAGTATTTCAGATAGAATAGTATTACAGGACGATCTTAGCTCATTGGTGGCATGGTTAGATAGGTGGTCACCAGAAGTAAATCCTAATAAGAGTGTAGTGATGCAGTTAAATAACTCTGATGAATCGTATGACTATACACTACGTGGATTCGTGCTACCCAAAGTAAGAAACTATAAAGATTTAGGGGTCATATTAAGCAATGATCTCAAAACGACTAGTCACTATAAGGCTGCTGCTGCGAAAGGCTATAAGGTATTATGGTCAATTCGTAGGTCTTTCCAGTATTTAGATGATAAAATGTTTAGATTACTATACCCGATTTATGTGCGACCACATTTAGAATACGAGATTCAAGCAGCGTGTCCTTGTTTAAAATACGAAACAGATATGCTAAAAAGAGTACAACGACGAGCTACTAAGATGGTGCAAGGTCTATCTGTCCTATCTTATGAAGACAGACTGAGACACCTTAACTTATTTCCGTTATCTTACCGTAGAATAAGGGGTGATCTATTATTGGCCTATCGTATACTGAACGATGACCTTGGTATTAACATGTCTTATCTCTTGCTTCCGTCTAGAACCGATCATTTGAGAGGACATTCGAAGAAAGTTCAAAAACCGAGATCACACCGTTTACGTCTGGATTTCCGTTTCTCGCACCGTGTAGTGAATTACTGGAATTCTCTACCGGAACATGCAATATCAGCACCATCTGTTAATATATTCAAAACGAGATCGGACCTCCACAGTATTACAAACTGCAAGGATTAATATAGGTCGACAGACCTCCTATCCTTATTACTGAAGACTACTGAAGACTGTACCATATTATAGCCGCGTGATCTAAAGTTGTACGTTACTCTCGCAATGTGTTCCAGTAAATAATTGTTTAACATTCACTTTTGAGAACAGTCCCTCCAAGTAATTTAAATTACTTTCCAAGATTTCCTATGGCCTACGTTTTCCCACAGAATTCCAAGTTATTTCGCGGTAAACCAAAGATTTCCAGACTGAAAATTTTGATATATAATATCATATGACATTAGAAAAACCACCGAATATTCACTAAAATTCTGAGTCATGTATAATTTATGTGATAAAAATCAACTCAACAACTGTCTTTAGACAACTTTGATGAGTACAAGGAACCTCTATACATGAAATAATGTTTTTAGCACTGAGTGGTATCAGCTGATGCAGTAATGTGTTCCGTGCTGAAGTTTCAGACTTGTCTTGTTAATTTGTTCATATACTTCACGAAACGTACCACGGCTGACTTCAAGAAAACACTCAAAGTTCTCATTATGCTCACAATTGTCACATGTAGTCACTCTTTCTCATTAATTTTCAGAAACTACCCATGCAAGTCTTCGAACTTTCTAAACACTGGGCATTCAAAAATTTCACACTTATCAAGTAACAGTTGTCTTTTGGTTGTCTTGGAAATTCCTAGCTGTTGCTTATTGTTGGAAAAACAATGAACGGATATTATGAACCAAGGAATCTCATCGATTTGATCAAAGTAATCTTGTTCCGAAATACTTCTCATATCTAGCGTTTGAATTATGTACCTCTGTAATCGGAAGGTCAACGTCATGTTCTTGGGAATGTGTTTTTAGTTACTCTAAAATGTATATACAAGTGCGTGTAGTAGTAATACTATTAAAACGTGACTTGCTAGAACATGACTCAGAACTGAAACAAATAGCACTTCTGCTGTAGTTTTCTTTCAATACTTCATAAAAACAAAAAACTGATATGGCGGAAAATTCTCTCTAGTTGCATTCTAACTGTACTGTTTTTCCTACTATGTACTACTTTCGTCCACTCATATCTATCCATTTATATATTTTTAATTACGATCTTCCTCCTTACTCTTTTTCCACAATTTTGTCTCCATATTTGTATGGATTAGGTGTGCTTCGTTTTACCCCTACTTTTTTGTGGCATATTCCGTCTTTTGGTGCCATGTGCCAGATTTTATGTGCGTCGTTAATTAAAAACAAGTTGGATTGCGATTAATTTAGTAAATATCCTATAAAAGTTAATAAGTTCTTTTTTGTTTTCATGCAGACAAACGGTGAGCTCTGAGTATCTAAGTGTTCGTCACTCCAGTGTTTTTCCAACGGATCTTCATGTGCACCATTTTAATTTATACTAATACGAATTAAGGTATTTAAATAACTCTCACTTTATTAGTGTTTATTATTTCAAGATAACAGTCTTGTGTTTTTTACCTTTGCTCAGCATCTTGTGGTAAATCAGCTGTCCAAATACATCAGTAAACCGATTTATTTTCTACCTATCTTTATTTGGAACTCAGGCAACAATTTAAGTCTCCTCTTTCTTATGCTTACATGGGTGAGTTCAATTCGTTTTTATCATAATCTTTGCAATAATATTATTTTACAGGGTGCAAACAGCCATGGCCAGCTAGGTACAGGAGATGATAAAGATGCTTATGAACCTAAAATCATTAACTTCACTGATCCGGTCGCCCTGATCTCCGGAGGTGGTGGTCACTCTCTGATTTCTGACGGTAAATGAAAAACAAAGTAATATTATGTACTAAGAAAACAATATATTCAGCTGTGGTTTGAATTCTGTTGGTCAGCTGGGTCGTTCAAATGACTGCAACCACTTTAAAATTATTCCTTACTGTTTTCCATCAACTGTTATTAAAGTATCGTGTGGCTGGGATTTTTCTGTTGCAGTACTAAGTGATGGATCTGTTTTCTCATGGGGCTCAAATGAATATGGACAGTTGGGTAGAGAAAGTATTAATTCAAGCATAATTCCTGTAAGTTTTTATCGGGTAAATATGATGCAAATGTAGGCTCGTGTTGATATAGAGCCTGTTCGATCTATATCTGCAGGTCTAAGGCATGTCGTTTCTGTGACAAGTGATTTTTGTTTTCTTTATAGCAAGTTATTTTTCAGTCTCCGGAAAACTGTATGGTTGGGGTTCTAATCGCCGAAAACAATTATTGTTTGATAATGTGTTGATTAAAGCTGAACATTATGACGAATCGAAACAAATATGTTACCGTCCCACTCTATTGAACTCTGTATTTGGCGATACAAATGAATGGGTCGATTGTGCCGCTGGTGCGTATCATTCAATTGCGAAAACAAGTATGTCATAAGCTCCTGTAAGTGTAATCTTTTTTATCTATTGGTTTAATAGAAATTTATAATTTCTTCATCTTTAGGAACAAATAAACTGGCTCTTTTTGGAGATACTAGATTTTTTAAACCCAAATTAGAAGTTCACGGTCTTTCTTCGAATATCGAAAGTAGACTTTCATCTCCTATTTGGTATGATGCCGAATTATTTGATAACAATGAAATAGAACAAGTGGTGTGTGGATGGAGTCATGTTCTCGTTAGAACTAGTAAGTAACACCTATTAGTAAGTGTAATTGTGTGTATTTTTTATGACTCATCTAACTAAAAAAATATTTCGCAAAAGTAAGTGCTATGTTACAGGAAACTCAAAAAAGCCAATCAATTAAAACTTACACTCACTAAACACCCGAGTAGTATTGAAAGAGATACAATAATAGAAAACAATATACTAAAAACATTATGCATATGTGAGAAGTTAGTAATAATGCTTAGTTTTTCCCTCATATACTTAAAAAAACACTTTTGTAAAATCGTAATAGTAGTAATTGCTTTATTTAGTATTGTATGTGGGAATATGGTTTTATAATGTTGTGCGCAGAATATACCAGTAGCTAACTCCTGTACAGCAGTCAAGTCATTTGTACATAAATTCCTCACAAAATTTTAAAGAACAATTGGTATCCAAAACGTCGTCACTTCATAGTTTAACTTCTGAAATAATCAGTTGCAAAACCATTCATTCCTTGAGCTTGGTTAGAGCCTACTTTTCACAGTAACCGTCTAAATTATGAGAAAGCTAAACTGACAAACAGTGTTTTTTAAGAGCAGCAATGGTGTCGCCTTCATAATAGCTGAAAAGTAATAGTAGTCGCTTTATTCAGTGTTTTTGTTTAGTACAGCAAGAATTCTCACCATAAATTATCTCAGAGAGTTTGTCCTACTGTTCCTGTATATCGCAATGTATATATGCAACGGAAAGTCGTTGAGATGTTTTGCAAAAATCTTTAATACGTTTGTATTTTCAACCGCGAAGGTTTATGTTTGGTTCTGTGCTTGTCATTCGTGTATCAAATAATATATTATGGAGTTTTTTGTTTATCTCTGAGTATGACTATAATGTACTTATATCTATCTGTGCTAAACAATAGATTAAGGAAAAATTTGTAGGTAAAGCGAATAGTTTTGTTTAATAAATTAGCATTAGCTAGTTGTTCTCAAGATTTCGGATGACTATCCACAACTATATTTATAAATAAATCAAAAAATGGACCACAAGATTAACAGCTTTCCAACATACATAAAAACTAAGCGTTTGGTTTGTTAGGCAACTTGGTATTATGACTCTAGCAGAATTCTTTTTGCAGTCTTTCTCAACATTTTATGTTTATGTAAAGTAACGCGGTTTAATCAGAGTTGAAGATAACATCTGTTATATTTCTGATTGATTCCTATGTAAACAAGTCCCAGTTTGTGTTTGAAACATTTTTCAGATTTAGGTTTTTATCTCTTGAGTAGTTTGTATAATTGCCCAATCTCACCATTCCTCTTCAACTTTGCCATCGATAACATTCTGGAAGCAGCTCTGATGGATGTAAGTAATGGCGGTGTCGATCTGTCGCATGGACAAAGACTTCTCGACCTTGAGTAAGCGGATGATATTCTCTTACTGTGCGATAATGCCCAAGCCATGCAATGTGCACTTAATCAGTTGGTAATCAATGTCCGTATGTACGGTATGTGCTTTGCACCTTCGAAGTGCAAAGTACTTCTACAAGACTGGAAGGATCCTAATTCTGTACTCACCATGGATGGTGAGCAGATAGAAGTAGTCGAGAAGTTCGTGTATCCAGGTAGCTGTATAAGTGCTGGTGGTGGCGTGAGTGATGAGACCAATGCACGTATAGTGCAAGCCAGAGTCAAATCAGTAGTCTACTTAAAACCGTAACCTTTTAATTCTTCGTATAATCATATTAACTATACACTATGTATTAAAAGTTTTTATTTATACCTACATATTACATTTTTGAGAGAGAGAGAGGTTATTGAAATACTAAATAGATTATTTACCTAATTATTATTGATCGATTGAGTTGTTTTTTCACTTATCTTAAACAAAACTAGTCACGGGCAAGTTATTGTTAGCTCAAGTCACTCACGCTCAACCTTATCTACATTTATTTATAAAAGCTTATTTTTAATAAACTACTTACTATTCAATATCATCTCTAATAAAATCAAATAAATTATGTCAAAAATAACTATTTCGTATTCAGGGATGAATTACAAGCTTATGCACTTGAGTTCGAACTGTAAATTTTGTGCAAAGTTTGGTATGGTTGTCCGAACTGATGTAAAGGAAATCGGGTTTAAACTTATCAAGAAATAAAGGAACTTCTAATAGTGGATGGTTGTTATTACCCAACTTCTTTGTAGGGAATGCTCATTTTTATTGTTTAAAGATTTACTAGTTTCATTTAGTAAAGATACACTGTTATTTTGACAGGTATTTTTATAATTAATATTGATCACTCGGTGCATTATCTGTGAATAGTTTAACGGTTACTTTACCAATTATGCCACCAAATTTTTAACGTGAGCTGTAATTTCTTGATATTGTTTTTTTCATTAAGTCACTTTTCGGCATAATAATTTTAACATATAAATATTTTTATATACGTATTTGTTTAACAATGTGTTTGCTTTATATTTCCAGGTGTTGGAGAAGTTTATTCGTGGGGTCGATCAGACTTTGGACAGCTTGGACGAACTGTTAACGTATTAAGCAAGTTTATAGGAAAATCTAATGAGATTTTCCCGAACTTCGATGTACACCCTGGAAAAGTACATTTTCATTTGAATACTGGTCATGAAGTGACTATAAAATCTGTTGCTTGTGGTTCAGAGCACTCATTGGCTATAGATTCAAATGAACAGTTATGGGTTTGGGGGTGGAATGAGCATGGTATGTGCGGTGTTATAACGAAAATTGAAAGTCAGATAGAAAAACATTGGACTCAAGAAGAAGTTATTCCTTACATCACACAACCATATCAAATAAATTTCCGGTGTTTTAATCAAAATCACAAAGTGAAACATATCGGTTGTGGATACGGTCATTCAATGGCGTATGTAGAATTTGGTTCGTAAACGTTGTAGAAGTCATATTGGATTTTTGTTTGTAATAAAATATGATGAGTTTCTTCTCGTTTTCACAATGAGTGTACTAACGCATATGAAAAGTATGTGCTAACGGTTGATAACCTACACAGTATTCTCACCTATATGAAATCTCGACTAGTCAGGTCACTTGGAAGATTAACCCAGTACCTTATATTATTCTGTTTTACCGAGGCTTATGAGCTTAATTCTTCATGTGCAAGATACGAGACCATGACATCGTAAACGACAGGTATCATTATCTACATAACTAGGACTCGGGACATAGAAAGAAGTAAATCGTTTATGGCCATCTAGTTTGCTATACCTAATGGACTGTAAATGATAAGGCAAAGGTTATTGAGTTGAATAAAAATACATGATCATGACAATATAGAAACGTATTTAATAGGAATAACCTTGAAAGTCTTATATTTTCAATCATTTGCTGCATCTTAATAAAGTCTTATTGTTTTGCTTGTGCTGGCTTCAAAAATTGGTAAGCTGTAAATTTTGGGATAAGTAAAAAATAAGTATCCCGAAAACCATGATTTTCGTCTTAACACACTAAAGTTCCAATTATATATTTAAGCATGAGGTAACGTGGCCGCTCACACTGCATTTGTTTAAAATTCAAACTGAATCTATAGTCACTTGAATATGAAGACAATGTTTTTTTAATAGCCTGAATCATTTAGCTAGACGCAGTTGTAGGTTCTCGATTTGAGGATTATTGTAGTGAATGGGGAAATAAAGGGTCATACTGTCTTTACTTCCTGTACGGTTTACTTTATCGTCCTGAAAATAAATCGTGAAGCTTATTTCGCAGACGTCGTGTAAAGCTTGGAGGGGCATCTCTTGTCTAAGTAAAGTTCTGACATGAGATGGTGGTAAGTATCACTCCATACGAGCTTTTTTTTTAAGCAAAAATGACGGATATATATATATATACTTTCATCAGACATTTCTATACTAGTCAATGGAATCACAACATCGATGCTGCAGAGCAGTTTACCAATAAGTAGGTCACGCTTGTTTTGAATGTTCGAATATTTTGGGCGTTCTGTGCACTTCAGTTTCCCCAGATTACGCTGACCTTGTTTGTTGGAATCTAGGTACCCTTCTGGTAGTCACTGGTACTGGGATGTCCTAACATGATTTGTCGTGCTATTTTTAGTCAGAAAATCAGATGAGAATGTCCAAGGTTAACACTTAAATATCCAGTTTCTGGTTGATCGTCAGTGATGTGTCTATCTTTTCCATCTTTGGCTGGTTTTACCTACTTTTGGTCGTAGTTTAATAGCGTTGCAAGATCCTTCACAAACCACACAAGTGTTGCAAATCATAACGTGTAAGGACGCATTCACTGTGCCGTAAACTGTAACAAAGGCATCTAATGACGGGGGTCGATTTGGAGCACATTTGGTGTTATGTCTCGTCCATGTAGCATATTGTTATGTAAACATGATGTATCATGTGGATAGTATTGTACGTTTAATGGATAAGAAAAGGATCCTAATGATTATCTTAAATGAAGTTCTAGTTTCATGCATTAAAGTTTTCTTGCCAGTTATCTCACTTACAGCTAGCAAGATATCTGCACAGTGAACTAAGAGCCTTAACAAAATGGCTGGAACATGACGCAATACGAAACCACCGACTATGGCGTCTGTAGACTGTCTAGGACAGTAGATTAGAACCATGACCACAGATGTCTTAGAAACATTGCTGGGATCACCGGGTAAGTAATGGTGAGGTTAGACTCAGGGTATTAGGTAATGATGGTAAATCAGTTGGTGAGGTTGTTAATCTTCATTGACTGAGATGGTTGGGCCACGTGTTACGTATGCCTGAACACCGATTACCACGTCGTGCAATGCTAACAGGTGTCAGAGATGGTTGGAAGAGAATTAGGGGCGGCCAAACCAAAACGTGGCATCAGAGCTTGGAGACACTAACCTCTAGTCTGAGCCATGTTGGTAGATGCAGACTACTTGGTTGGGGTCCGCGTGACTTTCGTAACCAATGGTTGGAGACTTGGTGACATGGCTCAGAATCGGTCACGATGGCGTCGGTGTATACACTCCCTGTCTTCCCTTAAACTAAGAGATTAAAATCGCTTCATATCTTTCTTTCTACGAACTAATTCTATATTCCGGTACTGTTTCCTTATATGCAATCTTTCTCCTATATATTACCACCTTTAACCTAACCACTCCCATGAATCCGGTGTTCATCTTGCTGTGCTAACGAGGTATGGCAACCTGGACCGATGCATATATGTGCCTGGCCCTACGTTGTAGATGACTGACTGATGTAGTAGTTTGATTTCGCTTGTAAGCTCGCACTATCGTCACCTGGCTTACTGCTTATTAATTATATATTATTTTCATGTTGAGGGTGGAATATGAAGACTCCTAAATTCAGAACACCTATTCATATACAAGTGAGGTCGCGGAACACTCGGCGTCAATTCTCAATACACCATGGATTTCAAGGAGGATGATTTGTCGGTATTCAGCCCATGGCAATGCGCTTTTAGCTGAAAACGAGGCTTTAACCTTCTATGAACTCGCTTTATTATACTTTTTAGTGACATGTTTAAACTGTACTAATCATTAGGTTTCTCATATTAACATGACAGATGTTCCGCGTTGTACTGAAGATGTACTATAAGAAAGACCAAACGGAAAAATAAACTTTTTCCAACTGGTACTGACACTATATAGGTATCCCCATCAGTAAACGGACAGTGTCCCACCAAATGCAACAAGATCGCTTAATTTAACTTGTTTCAACAATGACCAGCTAACAATAATTGATAACTAACGTTTCTATGACGAGCAAGCAACCTGCTTCAAATCAATAACATGGGATGAAACAGTTGGTCCACCGGGTAGTAATTAAAGTATGGCGGTTGGGTGTAGCGACTGCGATAAAACTGTATCAAGTAAAGCGAAGGCTAAATAGTTCCCGTTTGATTTAACAATACCAGGGAGTTAGTTGCGACTCATAGTTTGTAGATGGTATTGTAATCATAATTACAATCAAACAGTGAACACCAAAAATACAGACAACGGAAATCAGTATGTGCAACAGAATCAGAAGGGAATAGTCATAAGGGAAACATACACGAAGGGAGTCTCTCCGTATTCACCTGAGGAATTACCAGAGTGGTGTTTACATGAAGTACAAATGATTGAAATCTGTCATTTGACGATAACATGAAGACCACTTTCTCACCTATTTCCACCTTCATTCAAATATTCTGTTCCTACTAGTGATTATCGTCCTCCCCATTTTCATCCTCAAAGTAACATCTGTAAGGTATCGGAAAAGCAGCATTGTCTGATCCTACCCTACCTAGGATATCTTCATGATACTTGAGTAGTCCCAAGCCTATGATGGACACTGAAGCGTCTATTGTTTCGACATTCTACTGCACAAGTCATATGATCACACCTTTTTCCATATAAGGTTGAAGGATTTTCACTGACCGTTTGTAAATTAGACATTGCCAACTTTTAACATCGACTAAATTTACTGGAAGAATGAGGACGACAAGAGTTGGGAAGAGTTGTGTGTATATGCCAGTAGAGATAGATGAACATAAGACTATGAATGAACGCTTTAATTCATAACACTATTATTACTAATAAAAAAACTGGGTAATCCCACAATTTTGCTTTCATGGTTATATCAAAACTATAACTAGTCAGGACTTTAAGAGCTTTCGAAAAACAAATGGATAACTACTAATTTCATTAGAGATTATATTGCATTTTGTTGTTCGGTCTGCAAAGTTAGCGAACATAGCGAATGCGTTGTGCTCTTGTTGTAATGTGTTTGAGAGGTTTGGGCAAAATAAATTCTGGTGATGAACATTGACCTCAATTACATATCATCTCAATATTAATTTACCTCAAATAAATACACACCACTCACTATGACTTCAGCATTACTCCAGAATCATCCGGATACCACTAACGAAGAAGTGATAGGAAAGGAGGTGGCGTCCTTTTGTACATAGCCAATAATATAAATATCCAACCCTTTGGTTGCGAATCCCATTATAGTGAGGCTAGTGAGGTCATTAACTGCGGGTACACTATCGGGTTTTACACACTTATACTCGGTATCATCTATCGCAGCCTAATCTTCTTAGCTGATGGCTTTATTTTAGAGAACATTCAGCAATCGACTGTAAATAGCAGATGCTTGACATTAGGAAACTTTAATGCACCTGATATTAGTTGGACTGAGATTGCCTCGGTAGGATCTATAAACTCCTTTGGTAGTAGGTTCCTGATAATGGTAATGCATTAGTACAGCGCGTATCCAAAACCACATATTTTGGTGAAGGCCAGGGTTATTCTTTTTGGACTTAGTAATCAACCATGTGGCCACCGTAAATATTCCTCCACTGTTTGTGCACATCAATCACGCTGCTTTGTCACTCATGTTTAGAGCTGGTGACATGATATATGACCAGGTTAAGCCTCTGCCACATGTATAGAGAGGTAACATATCAGTCATTTCGGAGTGCGCTGCAAAGACAGAATGCTCAATAGATACCAACTCATTGGTTGAAAAACTTACTTACTTATTCCTGTTACTTCTCGTGAAGGAGCATAGGCCGCTCACCAGCATTCTCCATCCAACCCTGTCCTGGGCAATCCTTTCCAGCTCCTTCCAGTTCCTATTCATCCTTTTCATATCTGCTTCTATTACCCGACGTAATGTGTTCTTAGGCCTTCCTCCTTTCCGTTTCCCTTCAGGATTCCAAGTTAGCGCTTGCCTCGTGATGCAGTTTGACGATTTGCGTAATGTATGTCCTATCCATTTCCATTGTCTTTTCCTAATTTCCTCTTCAGCTGAAACCTGGTTTGTTCTCTCCCACAGAAGACTGTTGCTGATGGTATCCGGTCAATGGATGTAGAGTACTTTGCGTAAACAACTATTTATAAATACTTGTACCTTCTTGATGATGGTTGCTGTAGTTCTCCAAGTTTCAGCTCCTACAGTAGAACTGCCTTGACGTTGGCATTGAAGATTC